GTACTAATGACTGTAGAACTGTTTCATTTTCCAGACCTGACTAAGGAGCACGTTTTTATTGTCAGTTCATTCAACTATTGACTGATCCATCCATCTATAGCATGCGCTTACTTTAAAAGCCTGAGATTAATTTAGCCCCAAATAACATGACAGAGAGATTAAACACATTTTAAAATAATTTAATTCAAGAATACCATATCCAAATGAATTTGTCACAGAAGAAACACTCCAGCTTGTCCTCTCTACAGACAAGCTACATAACTGAACATTTATTAAAACAACTTTTAAATATGATAAGCACTTAATTATATACCACCACAACCCCCCCGCTACAATATACTTTTAATTTCACCAAAACTGAGCTGTAAACAAAATTTCCTTTGTGAACACAGGGAAAAATATTCCTGCATATCTGACAAAAAAGGATTCCTGACATCCATAGTATTTCTCTGACTGACCCCTTCCAGTGCTTAACTACACTCACACTTGAAAAGTTTATCGAAACATAATCCCACATCTTTTTCCGAGAATAAATCATAGAGTTTGCTTTGAAATTGTAAGGCCACAACTTTGCAGGCAGAAGCAATATAAAATTATCTTCACATTGCTCCCCTCTTTCTCTTCCACTAATCCTCATGTGTGCAAATACTTTTTAACTATTATTTATTCTTCTAGACAGAAAGGCTTAATACAACCTTAACTAGGAAAACAAAGTTAGCTGTCAACCTAATAAATAAATCTGTGCTCAGCACCAGAAGTATACTTAAGATTCCTCAAATTTAGATATTTTTAAGCAAAATATATAAATTGTAGCTTAACAACTGCATCTAATTTACTTAAAGAATCCCGTCATTGTAGTACCCTATGACTTCAAAAACTTTTTCTTAATTGGCAGTAGCCAGTTTCATAAATGTGGGCATACACTTTTGATTCAATGTATATAGCCTTGCTGAATAAATATTTAGAAAGGAGCAGATCTGTCATAATACTAAGAAATTTTCATAAGGTACAGGGTACAGGGTACAAATAGATATTAGGGCTTGTGGATCCTAACATTGTTTATCATTTTCTTTTACAGTCATGAGGCAAGTATTTCTCTACTCTAGCTGTAGAGTAGTAGCTAGGAATAAGGGAATTATTCCTATCCCTACATAAAAAAGGGAATACAGTTATCAAACAGTTAAAGCCATTTACTCAATGTGTCCTCCCCTCTACTGTGCTGTTGAGACCCCACCTGGAGTATTGCATACAGTTCTGGTGCCCCCAACATAAGGACATGGAACTGGTGGAGCAAATCCAAACAGCCACAGAGTTGCTAAGAGGACTGGAGCACCCCCCTATGAAGACAGGCTGAGAAAGTTGGGGCTGTTCAGCCTGGAGAGAAGGTTGTGTGGAGACCTCATAGCAACCTTACAGTATCTGAAGGGGCCCTACATGGAAGCCAGAGAGGGACTCTTCATCAGGAACTGTAGCAACAGGAGTTATGGGTACAAACTGAAAGAGGGAAAATTTAGAATAAGAAGAAACTCTCTCCTGTGAAGGTGCTGGGGCACTGGAACAAGTTGCCCAGGGAGGCTGCAGATACCCCAATCCTCAAAGTGTTCAAGACTAGGCTGGACAAGGCCTTCAGCAACCTGGGAAGTTGCAGGGAGGTGTCCCTGCCCATGGCAGGGGAGTTGGCATTAGATCATCTTTGAGGTCCCTTTCAACCCCTTAACATTCTATGATTCAATAATAAAGACTTTAAATCCATTATGAACTAATGTAGGTTTTTCTAAAATATAAGACGTATGAAAGCAAAAGCGTGTAAGTAATCACACAACTTGCTGACAACTTTTTTATGCTCAAATAGCTTTGAAATACAAGGAAAAAGCTGCTTTCTATCTTTATAGAATATTATATGAGTATAAAAGCAAGATATGGATTTGAAAGCGGTAAGAGGAATTTTACTGCAAATTGGTGTAGATACACTGAAGTGTGGTATTTTTCTTGTTTTAGTTACATTATTCTCAGGGCTTTTTAGTCAATCCTGGGAGGAGTAACAAAACTTCAGAGACTGTGTTCATACAGTGGGGCCTAACTTTATTCATGTGTACCCTGAGGAGAGTGTAAAAACTCAGACCCTTATTCCTCTTGCAGTTCTGCTTCTCAGAGATTTTTAGTCTAAGTGCAATACTGAACTCTCTGTTGTCAAGCCGAGGGTCACCTTTGTTGAAGAAAAAAAAGTGTATGGTCCAGACATTCCAGCAGGATGAGAAGGGAGATGAAAAAGCTTGCCAAGAAAAGCCAGTTTGCAGTGGAAAGTACCTCCCTGGTGAGGGGGAACAGAAAAGGGGAACAAACCTCAGAATTTTTGATCTTTGCTGTATGCAGTTAAACATTTTGCAAAATTCAGTAAAGAAGACAAGAATGCAAATTATCCTGTGCTACTCAAAGGGACAATGTAGTGGGATTTTCAGATCAGGAAGCATAAACATATTTCTTCTTCCTTTTTCATTTCACATCTATAATAAATAAAACCTACAGCTCTCCAGTGCAAACACACAATACTGTTTACAAGGCATAGACCATGTTTTGTTCTATTACAGCACTTAGCACATTGGCTCTCAGTTTGTGGTACTACAAATAGCTCCTCATCTAAAAGTTCACCCAAATGCTGGAGCATTGAGATGAAACTGAAAGCAGCTGCACTGCATAATGCTGGAGGGTTGCCTAACCTAGTGTCTGGTATCAAAGAGCGTTCAGTGGTCTATGCCATGAGGCTATGAGGATTGCAGGACTGCCAGTCACCCTGGAACACTTCTCTGGTTACAAACGCTCTTGACTTCCAGTGATCAGTCTTCAGTGAGTTTCTGATTCAGGTATCTTTGCTCTATGTCCTGTTTTGTAATGTAAGCATGCTGCGTGTGAAAAAATGCTTCTCATTTTTTTTATTTTGGACTGGCTACCTCCAGATTACTTCTCTATCAAAAGGTGCACCTTTTCCACATCACTTCTGAATTTACAGATCCCTGTTACATCCTCACTGAGCTGCCTCTTTCTTATCCACAAGAGTCCCAGACAATTCATCTGCTTCTCAGCTGTGCTGTCATTACACAGCTTTGGCTGCTTTGATCCTCCTATTTGAGCCTTTTCCTAGCTCTGCTGCCTTTTTGTAACAAAGCAGACCAGAATTTTATACTACATTAAGACCTAACTGCACCATCAATTTACACAGCATAAAACTGTTTTCTGTTTTATTCTTTATCTCCTACTGAGATAGTCATTCTTAGCACTTGTCTAACCTGCTGCTGAGCACTGAGCTGAGGTTTCTATAAAATTACCTAGGTAACTCCAAAATCACTTTGCTACACAGCAATAGCTACTTCAGAGGAGCAAGCTGCCAGTTTAGTGAGAACTCAGTATTATTTTATATATTGGTTTATATTTATATTAGTAAAATGTTGAAATACATCTTCTTTTATCCCTCTCAGTATCATCAGATTGGTCTGCTGCTTTTAGTACTTTCCATTTTTATTATTTTTGAGAATACAACCTAATTGCAAACATTCTGTTACTGCTAAGACCTCTTCAACTGATCTATTATGTCTGTTGAGCAGCAGAGTCCTGTTCTCCTTTAACTGCATGTTGGGAGTATTACTGATTTTCTCCTTTACTCTTAATTATTCTATTTTGCAAATAGCCAAGTGGATGGCCCAATGTCCCAATTAAGGGACTCCTACTCTTCAACCGGTGCATCACCTTTTTTCAAAGCTTTAATGAGATACCTTGCCTAAACACCCATAGTTGTCTACTCATGGAATTATCCAGCAACTATATTAACCATGAGGCAACAACTCTCTTAATATGCATATATTCATACTACTCAGTGCTTTTACACTCTTAATCACCTGCTGACCTGTAAGCTTCTCTTGTTTAGAAAAAAACGTAAGCATGTACAGGTTTTATTGTTCTGTATCTTTGACTTAGGTACTGTAAATTTTTCCACACTTTCCATATTTGTCCAATTCTATTTTCTTAACTTTGACACAAAATACTATGGTTTTTCCTCTTGTGATTTCTCTAACTCATTTGCCAATGAAAAAAATAATTTATATTCTCCAATGAAACAGTGATCCAATGCTCACACTAAAACCTGAAATTTTTATTTGGATTTTTTTTTTCTGTTAGGTGTGGTTACCACCAGGGTGAGAGATTTTGCTATATATGGTCTTAATTCTCAATGGACTAACTTCATAGCCATAAAGAGATTCAGTCTTAGGGGAGCCTGAACTACTGGTTGCTTATTTAATTTCAAATCATAGCACGGCACCAGTTTCCCACAGAACAAACAATTTGTTATCTGCATCGTCTCAATAGCCTCACTTAAAACCAGATATTCTAGTCCTCAAGTGGTTTTCTTTAAGACTGAGATTTCCACAGAAATATATACAGTGGGTTCAGTTCCCAGTTTTAATGGAACCTTAGTTAAACTGCTCCTTGCTGTTAATTTTCCTCAACTTCTACCCTATTCATTTACCAAAGTCTATTTATCATCCATAATCATGTTTCCCTTCTTACATGTCTACTTTTCCCCAGTTCATGGACTTTAAATGCCTACTTCTTTCATTTAAAAAAAAATGCTGTGACACAATCCTGATTTCATTCTTTGCACGTACTCCTATTACTAATGGGCCAGTCTGTTTTTATTCCCTTGACAGTATTTGCATGGTCATGCAATGGAACATTGCTTCTCTCCCTCTCTTCTCTTCACAGGTCTGGAAAGCTACCACATGAAGGCCACACTCTCCAGCCTGAAGTAAAATCTTTAATCCAAAGGGACAGTGTATTTTTTTTTTCAATAGTGGAAAGAAGGAGGAATTAGAAAATAGGAGCAAAAACCTTGTTTCTGTTCAGTGCTGCTCCATGAAAGAGCCATAGAAAAACAATAAAAGGAAATTTGTTAGCAAAACCATTTCAGGGACAGACTTTTTTTCTGACAAATGTACAGAAAACATTAATTTGAGGAGTTGAGGTTGTTTTATTTTACACCTAATACAATTCAAATTTAAAGGATTACTTGCACAAAAAAATAAACACATTTGGTATAAAAATTTATTGTCACTTTAACACCTTTTTTTCCTCTTATGGCCCCGGCCTTCTCTGGAGCAGAAACATATAAAGACTAATGGCACAAGTTTGTTTTATTCTACAGCATTTTTCTTGTTTTTACATACTCAAGTACCCTAAAGGACAACAGCCCGCTGTATACAAGAACCATTTTCTTCAGCCTGCTGAATTAAGTTTCATAAAGAACCAAAGCTATAAAGGCATTTTAAAAACATTGTCTCTTTTTTTTTTCTTTTCAGAAGCACTGACTTTTTGCACCATTTATATACATAGTGTTACGTAACAGCTCTTGAGTACAGTTCATGCAGCAGAATATATCTCTTGTATATAAAACATACATTTAAAACCTTGACTTATCGGAATTCTTTGAAGATTATATAATTGTAGAATGCCCAGTGCTTAGAGAAAATGGTCTGATAGTACAAATGTCTGCATATGTACGCCACTGGAATAATCCAAGGCTCACTGGAATAGTATCTGTAGCACATCAAGGTGCGTAAATAATTTATTCAGAATGTTAAAACACAACTCGCAAAACCAATAGTTCATGATCTTACAATTGGGGGTTGGAACCAGATGATCTTTAAGGTCCTTTCCATTAAACCCCACCATTCTATGACTGCTACGTTAACTCTTCGGTGGTTGCAAGGAGGTGTTGTGAGAGTTCCCCCTCCCCTCCTAAGACCTCTATAAAACCTTTAGGACACAATTTGTTTTCCAGATGAAGAAACTTATTTATGTCTACTGCCTCTTCTCTTCATTGCAGCTGTACACTGTGGACAGTACCATTTCCCTTTTGGCGCTTCTGTCAGTCCAACACATCCATAGTGGAACCACTCAATAGGACACTATAAAAAGAGAGTTAAAGAGAAGGTTTGGGATTTGTTTGGGGTTTTTCACAAATACAATTCTATGAAAATGAAACAGAAGTAAAAAGCATAGATTCTGCTTTTCATACAAATCACAGGACAAAATGACAAGAGATGAAGATCTCAGTCTCTAACATACATTCAATAAACTAAGGAGAGTGATAAAAATTCTAGGAGTCATATAGACTCACGTAACAGAGCAAAATGTTTTGCTTTGAAAGACTTAGTTTGACAATACTAAGTGACACAAAAGTAATCTTATCACTCATTTCTATTTAAATGTAGTGTCTCAGTAAATACATGATTACATTCAACTGCTCTTTTAAAACTTTTCTATTTGAAGAGGACAACTGTTTTTAGCTAAACATAGCTAAACATTCAGAGAAATAAATGGCATTTTGAAGTAGGGCATTTTTGTAAAGGCTCAAGTTTTCTAAAAGAACCTGAACTGTGGAGAGAAATGAGAAGTTTCATGAAGGGCGGTTCCAAACATATGCACTTTACTCTTAAAAAAATCTACTCAAAAACCAACTTTAAAAGAAAAGTAACTTCTGCAAACAACAGTTACATGCACAAGCCTCTCACAAACCCTTTGAACTTTGTTACTTACATCTTGGTTATCACAGCCTACCATTTCACCATAGGACACCTAGTAAGAAAAAAAAAATTCCATTCTTAGTAATTGTATTATTAATTGAAAGCAATCAACATTTTCAAAGGGCTAACAGTCACGTTTTTTCCTTTAAGGAGTCTTTCCATTAACAGAAGCAACAACATTGTGATTTTCCTTTTCACAGGTATCACAGATATCACAGAATATTCTGGAAGGATACTGGAAGGAACCCACATGAATCATCTCTCTTAAGGATACTCTTCACTCTTAAGAGAATGGCCTGTGCGGGGCTTTTGTTACACAACCCAAACACCATCTTGCTCATAGTGAATTGATTTTCAAAAATCATTTGTGCAAAAGAAGATGCATCTGCATATTTCAGGTAGGATAAAAAAGGTCAGCACTCAAAACCTCAATGAAGTACATTTTGATGAAAACAACAGTGCTCAGTACGTTATCAGCCTAGTTTTCAAGATTATATTGATGTCTGCTATTTCCCTTCCATACATGACAATTTCAAGCGCTTTATTTGAAACAATCAAATATTTTAAAGAGAATTACAGAAATCAATAAACTCTAAAAAAAGTCAACTCTCTTAAAAGTGTTTGAAATAAGAACAGGCATTTTAAGTAAGTTTCTCATGTTGTCATTCATTCTCTGAATAGTTTATCTAAAATTAGGTTTTTGCTTGGTTGTCTGGGTTTTTTTAAGTTTATGGGATATTTTGGGGTTTGGTGGGGTTTTTCTTGTTTGGTTTGTTTGGTGGTTTTTGCTTTCTATAGGGAAGTAGAAGAACAGAAATTCCTTACTAACTGAACATTTTAACTAAATTCACTGTGAACTCTTTCCATTTTTCATTTAATTATTCCTGAAGTCTCCACTAACAGATTTTAAACACTCCAGGTATGTCACATCACTAGAAAACTGACCACTTTTAGTTTGAGTTGATAATATTTGTAGCACCAATAAGTAAATAAAAACAGATCAGAATTTCAAGGGTAAAAACACAATGTTTTAAAATTAGCAACCAGAGAAGAAAGTTCAATTACATCAAACCAGCAGTTCTAGCTGTATTTCAGGCTGGAGACTATCCTTACCTGATTACAAATGCAGTAACGTGGCTCATTTGGATCATAGGTCCAGTCAACCTGGCTATTAGAATCAGACTCTGGTATTACTGCTGTTTGCTGAGACAGTTCTTGTGCTAATGCAGATGAAGAAGAACATGACGATAGAGAGGAAGAAGAAGAAGATGACGAGGACTGCTGACTTGAGGATTTGTTGTTGTTTCTGAGGAAAAAAAAAAAAGGAAAAAATAGCATACATGATTTAAATTTATTTCCTGCCACACGAAAGAATCACTAAACAAGTACTCTGAAATACTGCAGTATGTAAATCCCAAAGCATCGTTTGCTAACAGATTTCATTCAACTACTGTAAGCACTGGAAAGGACCCACTGAATGCTCTTTGGAAAAGGAAACAAATCATACCAGCTTAACAAGTGCAAAATACACTGTTCTAATCAATGGAATTTAACTGCTCTGAACTGTCAAACAGCTTTAATGAATGCTTTTCTTCACAAAATTCTCCATTAACAGCCTTGGTGTCAAGTCCCCATAAAAATTATATTACAAATGAAACAGGAATTTACATATAAATAATGTCATATGTCATGTACAGCAGGTAACTGTTTTGAAGATGACTGATTCTCTGTTAACCTCCACTCAAGCATCACCAATCGCTCCATAGGAATGGTGCCAGAATAAAAATGTTATGCTTTTGCTTATAGATGAGATTTGACATTAAATCTATCCATAGATGAAAAATCCTTCTGAAACAGTATTATTAACTGAGCTAGAAACACACATAAATTTGTATGAAGAAAAAAACTCATGTCAGTTTAAAAGGATGGGTATTTTGAAAGAAATTATTTCAAGTACACCCTGGGACTGCAGTCACCATGTGTTGTGACACTGTTGGTTAAAATGTTTTAAAACTTCATTTTAATCAGAAATAAAATTAATTCCATTTCCTGTCCTAGATTATCAGCCATCAGAAAGTGTTGCATTTGTTTGTGAACTGGCATGAAGCAAATCTGCGATTATTTCAAAAATATCTACAAACCATTGCACGGTAATTCCTAATATTTGCTGTTAGGTCAAATCTCTAAAGAACACAGAAAAATGAGGGAAGAACCTTGACTGTATCATAGATGAAAAAGCAAATCAAGACATTTACTTACACACTTGGAGTGTGTTTGCTTAAATAAAAAGGAGAGGACTAAAGAACACAGCCCTTAAAAAAATGGCCAGCAGGCAATAACTGCCTTCAGCTGATCCTCCCTCACAGATATTAAATACAAAGTATTTTTATTATGGCCTTTGACCTTCAAGAAAAAGCTTAGCTGCCTTAAAAGCTGTAATTGCAGTCAACAAGTAAGAAAACCTACTTGCTTTTTCTGCCACTTCGTGAATCTGTGGTTGATGAACTTAACGTCTGTGTTAACGTAGATGCCAGAGCTGATGACGAATATCCAGTTGAATCTCTGGACAACGAAAATTCTCTTCCAAGCTGAAAATCATTGTTTTTAAATGCTTCATAGCTGGCTTTTAGGCTGGATGTTCGTCTTCCCTCCTTCATCTAAAAGGAATACTGATATTGTATCAGATTACACAGTAAAGCTCTTACATAAGACAACTGCTAACTGCTAATTATTTGCACAGGTTCGTTAGTTACCTTGTTAACAAAGTGATGAAGAGTAAGCAGTAAAATGTGTAAGAATATCCCCCAGGAAAAGCCAGAAAACAAGCTGTCCCTTTAGGCAATTTATATAGGATGAAACTGTGGCATATAAACAAAAGCTGAAGGTGATCATGGGAATTCAGATCTTTAAAAAAATAAAGTCACTAGCCTTTCTTCTTAATCAACAGCAGATGGCAGAGGGACAAGAATATTATGACATTACCTGTGCCGTGGCTTGCACTGCTTGAGCTGCCGCCATGGTAATTGCACCGGCCCCGGATCCTGAAGATAATGAGCCCAGGTTATATGATGCCAATGGTTGAGAAGAGTTTGTATTGTATGCATTGTTTGAAGAGGATGATGAATTACTGTTTCGACACCCTTGATGAATAGAACACATTTATGAAATTCAAAATGAAACTAAATTCCTTTGCATTTTAAGAAGAGTTATATATGACAACCAGTGAAAGAGTAGGACCTCTGTTTATGCATCAGAGCAGTCTAATAATTTGGAAAAAAGGTTTTAAAAGTAATTTGACATAGCCAATATTTGTTTAAGGGGAAAAAAAGAAGTTTGTTCCCTCTGTGTCCTCATGTGCAAGGAGTCCTTTTAGAAATACAGCTCTCACTATCATACTCAGTTATCAAAGAACAGATGCAGCTGCTGTCAATATTGAAACAATGCTGACTGATCATCAAGAGAGTAAGAATTTGTACACCTATACTGTTTCTGAAGTAAAACTTTAACGATCTAAATTTGAAAAACTACAAATCACAGTTTTAATATAATGCAGATTTCCATGGCCATCTACAGAATGACAGTTGCTCATAGATACATTTTCTTTGCAACTTCATGTGAAGTCCTTCAAAAGAAGAGAGAAATAGGTATGAGGGAGACTACTTAAAACTCATGAACGCTGCTAAATTTCAAAACATAAGGTATTTAACTTACTATAACCTCTCACAATCTTTTATTTTCAGAAAAGAAACTAAGAAACGCCTAATTTTGAAAATAGGCAGGAAGTTGTGGGTTTTTTTCATTCACAAAACAGTCTTCTTGCCTCTTTTGACACAGACAACACATGAAAAATTTTATTTTGTTGTAGCCAAATGCCACATCAGACCAACACTTTAAAAAAAAAGAGGTGTGAAATTTCTTTTCCCTTACTTTGAAAACTGTTGCATGCATTTCCTTTTCCCAAAATAATAATGCACTGATCTCTTATATTTCTACTACTGGCTGAATGAAACTGTACTGTTATCTTCTTTGAAGCAGTGTACATAAAAGGGAATAGCCAACATACAGCTGTTAAATGACAACAAAACCGACCTGCTTCATGGACAACACAGATGAGTAACAATGCCTGCAGTATCTCGTTTCAAGTGACTGAAAATCCCAGAGAAAAGGGTATGAGCCTCTGACTGAAGACTGGTTGAATGGCAGATCCCAGAGGGTTGTTATCGATGGCACAGGGTCTAGTTGGAGGCCTGTCAATAGTGGTGTCCCCCAAGGTTCAATATTGGGCCCAGTACTACATAACTTATTTATCCATGAGTTGGATGAAGGGGCCGATTCCTCTTCAGCAAGTTCGCTGATGACACAAAGCCAGGCAGAGTGGTCAGTACCCCAGACTTCAGTGCAGCCCTTCAAAAGGACTTTGACAGGTTGGAGATGGGCAGAGAAGAACCTTCTGAAATTTAACAGAGGGAAGTGCAAACTCTGGGTCCTGCACCTGGGACAGAATAACCCTCTGCACCAGTACAGGCTGGGGGCCAACCTGCTGGAAAGCAGCTCCGTGGAGAAGGACCTGGAGGTCCTAGCAGAGAATAAGCTGTCTGTGAGCCAGCAGTGTGTCCGTGTGGCCACGAACCTGGAAGGTTCTTAGGAAGACCACTGCCAGCAGGTCAAGGGAGGTGATCCTGCCCCTCTGCTCAGCCCTGGTGAGGCCACATTGGGAGTGCCCAGTTCTGGGCTCCTTAATACAAGAGGCAAGGAGCTCCTGGAGCACGTCCAGCAGAGGGCAGAAGATGATTAAGGGACTGAAGAATCTCTCTAATGAGGAAAGGCTGAGAGAATTGGCCCTGTTCAGCCTCAAGAAAAGACAGCTGAGAGGGGACTTCATCAATGTATTTAAGTATCTGAAGGAAGAGTGTCAAGAGGATGGAGCTAGGCTCTTCTGGGTGGTGCCAAGCAATAGGACAAGCGGCAACAGGCAGAAACTGATGCCCAAGAAGGTCCACTTGAGTAAGTATAAGGACACACTTGTTTACTGTGTGGGTGACCGAGCACTGAAAGAGATTGCCCAGAGAGGTGGAGTTTCCTCACTGGAGATATCTCTGAACTGTCTGGACACAATCCTGTGCAATGTGATCTGGCATGACACTGTTTGGAGCAGGTAGGTTGAACCAGATGACCCACTAGGGTCCCTTTCAACCTTACCCATTCTGTGATTTCAAAAGACTAACTCAAAAGTTTCTCTTCTTTTAATTAAAGACCAATGAAAGGAAAGACGATTAGGATTACCTGGTGTATTTTCTTTAGAAGCATCTGAAGTCAAGGTAGATAGAAGAGCTTCAGATTTAAACTTCTTTTCAGGAACATGGTCTGTTGTACTGTGATGAGAAGATGGATTGTGTTTCCTTTCTAAATGAAATAAATTGAGTGAACTTAAATGTAAAACCTATTCAGCTTGAAAGTCAAACAAAACCCAGCACTTTAAACTAATTTCCAGTAGCAAAACCTTACTATTTCATTCTTTCACTTCTTCTTAACAGACATTATTATCATTTATTATGCCTTTTTTTCCCCTTGAAATATAAGTGGACATTTTTTTAAAGTCTCAAATACTTACTCTCTACTGGAGTGTGAGAATGGGCATGATGGTTATTCACAGGCTGTGATGGTGTATCCAGCTCCAGAGACCCTAAGAGGAGGTAAAAAGGTTAGGAAAATTTCAGAGTTGTCATTGTCATGCTTTTGACTTTTAGATACTAAGTGAATCTTTATAATATTAATCAAATCACTACGCAGTTATATTTATTTTAATCATAAGAATTTTTGCTAGAGTTGAAACCCTTCCTTCAGTACAACAAGGAGCAAGTGAGACTAGTTTTAAAATAAAAATTGGTGAGTGCTAGTGTTTAACTATTGAAATCAAGAAATTAAAATTAAGGTCAATAAAGAGAACAAAAAACATTGCCCTCAAGATGCCATTTATTCAAATGAGTTGCACACAAGCTGGTGATGATTGGAGGATGGCTGCACCAAAACTACTGACAATCTACACCAATATGAATTGAAAACTGTAACAGGTCAATTATGTAAACAAGGTGTTTTGTCCCACTGAGTCCATCTTGTCAAAATGGGAGCAATAGCAATGTATTTCCAGGTGATTTAATGTTCAACAGGAAGGTCTTTGCCACCATTATCAAATTTTCCTAACACTTAAAATACAAAGAACAATTAATACAAAGAAAAAAAAACACCTACAAAGTCGAGGATGCACAAATACAAGTCTACATCTAGGAATAACATTTCTTGTAAGATGAGGCTAAATAATTGCTAAATAATAGGAGAGACTTTTGACTATAAATTTCCATTAGCACAATATACAACACTTTGTGCATCAATCTCTGGCAAAAAAAAATCTGAAGTAGCTGCAATACCTACTAACTCACTTCTACACAGGAGACCATTCAAGAAAGCAAGTGACATTTATTTTCCAAAATCTGTAGCTTCAAAATTTCTTTATTTTTTCCAGTGCTTTCAAAAAGCACTGAAATACATGAGTATATGAGTAATACGTAAGTGTATTACAAAAGCTTAAATAAAATTATTCTATAAGAAGTTCAAAGCATAAGGAGCTATTTTGGCTGAGAGAACTTCAATCACATCATGAACTCGCCCAAAGGCTGCCCTCTGGCGGGACCTCAGCTTTATGCATTTATTCTCAAAGTGAAAAAATTTAGAGACTTCTACTTTTAGCTTTATTTAAACAAACAAAGAAAACCCAAACAAACCTGAAAGATGCCACATGCAGTTTGGTGCTTTTCTGTTCTGAGTTCTTGAAATCCTACCAAGCAACCTCTCCAAACACATAGCTCAACAGAATATAAACAACTGGGATTTCAACTAAAATAAACTAATAATTTTCTGCAGGTGCTAGTTCACTAAAAGCATTTAATTTACAGTTTTCTCTTTGTGCCTGTTATTTATAATAGCAATTACAAAAAAATACCCCCAGACTCCCAATTTATATGACAAAGCCACAAAAAGTTCCAAGAAAGAATATTTATTCCCAATATCCTCAAGTGATTTAAGTTACTTTTCACTACCTTTGGCTATGAGGACAACCACTGCCTCCATAATCACAGTAATTAAATCAACTCAGAAATTTATCATAATCACATTCGAATCTGATGTCTAAATGCTGATGTGTACAGAAAGGCCAGATTCTTCTACACCACGTTGGTCAAAAAAGCTGTCACATTACATTTTTGTTCACATTCTTAACACCAGCATTGCTGTATTTGTTCAGCATGCAGGTTTCTTACCTAAAATGCTTTTCCCTCACTACACCATTACAAAACAACTCATTCTCACCCCTTTAAAAAAATAAACCCACCAAGTATCTAACTTTATTTCACTTTCCACACTTAGAACTAAAATAAACTAAACTAAAGCCCCTCCTCAATGTGCTGGCAATCAATTCAAGGAAGAAATACTACACTTGCAACTGGGGAGGTGACAGGCTTAGACTGAAGTACTTGTCTGAATATCTCCAGTCACTAAAAACAGGTTTAAAGAATTCTGTATCTGTCATATAACAGCCACCAATTCACAAGTGCAACAGTTGTGTGAAAAAAATTATTCTAATTATTCAGTTGTATTTTGACTTCACTGGTAAAAATTGATGTTGAAACTAAAATTTGAGAATCACTGATGAAAAGTGGGTTAAAATACAGTTTTAAAACAAGTGGGAATACTGCCAGCCACTAACAAGTATATGATATTTTAATTTTGCAAATTGACAGAAAGCGTGTCAAGTTCTTAAAGAAAATCATGCATACTTACGTCTCTCTAATATTTCCGTGATTCCAGCATTATCTGCTTCAAGTTCCATTTTAAATTTAGCGAGTTCCTGGTCCAATTTTCTCAAATGACGGTCCACCTGTTTTTTAGACAAAGCAACAGTAAACAGCATTCAGATCTGGAACATGAACATCTAGATCCTTAATTTCAGTCTTGCTAAGCATTTCCCTTCCAGCAATTTCATGCAGCACTAAGCACGTACAGTAACGCAGAGAAGAATATCTTCTTGGTCATCTCCACTTCCCTCCCTCAGCAGAGACACTGGTGTTAACACCAAAATAGCGTAGGCAGTGCTCCAACACACTGTGATAAGTGTCTCTTTTGAGAAAAAAGATGAAGAGGACTTGAAGGTGCTGTGGATATGTGAATACAAAGGAGAAGAGAAAGAATAGTACATGACATGAACTTTAGAAGAGGTTGGGCTGCTTTGGGGAAACGGAGTCTTAAGTGAAAGTGTAGGGATTCCTGTGCGTTTGAGTAAACCATGATGTGCTCTTGGGCACTAAAAATTAGCAAAAACACCCTGAACTGACTATCATGAAAAGAAACACTATGTTCCAAATGCTTTCTATATCTGCAGTTATCCAGCAAAATATATGTCTCTAGTAAAAACTGAACAGGTTTTTCCAGTTACCAGCTAACCAAAAGAGAGGGTATAAGTTCCAGCTTCTGGAACAAACTTTTGGTTAGCTGCTGTGAAACTAAATCAGTTGTTTTATGTCTACTGCATTTGAGTGCAGTCTGACTTGCAGGGTCTGAGAAAATGTAAATATACTTAAACTTCAAAACCAGTGTGCCACCATTCTCTGGGCCCAGCCATCCAGCCAGTTTTTTACCCAGCCAATAGTGCATCAGTCCAGGCCATGAGCAGGCAGGTTCTCCAGAAGAATGTTGTAGGAAACATGTGTGTCAAAGGGTTTATTAAAGTCCAGGTAGACAAGATCCACAGCCTCATTTGCTAAGCAGGTCACATTGTCAAAGGAAGAGATCACGTCATCTCATTCAAGCAGGACCTTCCTTTCCTAAACCCATACTGTCTGGACCTGATCCTCCTGCTATCCAGCTCGTGCTGTGGGATGGCTCTTGACATGATCTGCTCCATGACCTTCCCCAGTACTGAAGTCAGGCTGAAAGGCCTGTACTTTCCTGGATCCTTTTTCCGACTCTTCTTGTACATGTGCATTACATTTTCTAATGTGTGGGACCTCTGATAAATGACTTGAAGTGGCTCAGTGAGCTGCTCCACCAGTTCCCTCAGTGCCCTTGGGAGGATCCCATCAGGGCTATAGACTTTTGTGTGTCTAAGTGGCATAGCAGGTCACTGACCGCTGGATTATCGGGACTTCATTCTGCTCCCTAGGTCAGGGGGCTAGTTACCCTGAGAACAACTGGTCTTGTTATTAAAGACTGAGGAAAAGAAGGCATTAAGTACTTTGCATCCAGTAAAGGATGGAGGTTTTCCTCAGCCCTCCTTTTATTGCTGATATATTTATAAAATACTTTTTATTGTCTTTTGTAGCAGTAACCAGTTTTAAGTTCTACTCGGGCTATGGCTCTTCTAATTTTTTCCCTGCATATACTCACAACATCCTTGTAGCCCTCCCAAGTTGCCTGCCCCTTCTTCCAAAGATGATACACTCTTCTCTTTCTCCCTGAGTTAAAGCTATTGCTCTCTATTTAGCCTAGCAAGCCTTCTTTCCTGCTGACTTATTTTTGGGCACGGGGGGACAGCCTGCTCCCATATATTTAAGATTTCCTTACTGAACACTGTCCAGACTTCCTGGACTCCTTTGCCCTAAAGACTGCATCCTGAAGGACTCTTTCAACCCGTTTCCTAAACAGGCCAAAGCTATTCATCAAAAACTTAACGATTTCTAATTGTCTTTCTTTGTTTTGTATTTAAGCAACACTTACTACAAAAATAACAAAATTCTTAAAAGTCAATAAAATATTAAATGTTTCTTTTACCAGCAAAATATCTGTATGTAGATGACAGAAATACAAGTAGCACAGCTCATCAAAATACTTAAAACTCCTTAGGGGATAAATGTAGGTAATTCATGACAAGTCTTGTGTACACTTACCAGATCATATATTTGATTAGCCAGTTGCACTTTTTCATCTGCATCTTCCAAAGCTTTATAATAATCCTGTTAAAGAGAATCTTTTTAAGTTATGAACATAAATTAATTTCCACTATTAATTTTAAGCTATTGTTATCCAACACAAAATATAAGCTAAAAGGAGAAATTCAAGTCAGTTGTTACAAGAAAAGAAACAATCTTGGATTTATTTTATATTAGACAGCATAAGGTTATGCACTCAAAATGAGATTATGTCTTCTACTTCCTACAGATCTTTAGGACCACTGCAGATCCTACTGCTCTTCAAAAAGATGCTGAACAGTACTGTGCATGAAGGCTCTTCCAACACTGCAGTTAGAGACGATGTTGTATATAGTTTAAATTATTTTAAAATAAATTTATATAACTCATAAGTGTAACTTGACTAAAGTAATCCAATTTAAAAATCTGCCCTAACCAATGAAAATTCTAATAGTGTTTTCACGTGTTTTTACTTTAGATTTGAACAGATTTTACTGCCTTTTAATTCTCAATTTCCAATGAATAGTGTCTTCCTTAGGCAAAAACTACTTGAAATTTTGGTTCAACTAAAGTCAAAAGCAAATTTTCATTTGCTCTAGTGAAGTCAGAGCTTTGACTTTTACTTTTTTAAAAGACAGAAATCTATTTGCATTAATTAAAGAAGTATACAACCAAATAAGAGGTTGAAGTAGACAGTGTAAGAAACTACAGAGCATTTTCTCCCACCAAAATGATGGACTACACTGCAAAAAATACCACCACCAATGCCCAAGTACTGAAAGATAGAACACATCCATCTTCTTGCTCCTCCCTCCCTCAAGCCATATGTACCATATATATAACATGTAAAAGGACAGAGGCAAAATCACAGGAAATGCTAAATCTAGCTTGAAAATTATCCTCTAAAAGAAAACCAATTAACTTACAAAACTTCATGTCACACAAGGAGAAACAAAAAATCTAAGCTGAAAATTTAGGACCTGATTTCCTTGCCATTTCAGGATCATATTTTTTAAAATGTTAGCAAATACTGTGTAAAACTTGAGAGAAATGTTTGATCAAAGAAACCTTTCAGTCACTTTTCTCCTCCGAGGTAGTTCTATCCATCTCTATGAAAGCCCAAGGGAAGGCATAGTTCTGAACACTTAAATCTCCATCAATCATAAGCTATTTTTTCCTAAGGTCATCTTAATTTGGAAGAGAAAAATGTGACCCACTCCTGTAATATCCTTACTTTTTTTATTGATGTCATTTGTTCTTCTCTCCATTCAGGTTTGTTTTTCTTTGCGTTCATAAAAAATTCATTTACCCTCTGTTCAAGCTGATCCATTGCATCTGTAGCACAGGAAAAGATTAAGACAAATATTATCTTCTCATGTACATAAACATTAGGAAGTAATGGGAGGTTTTTTTCTCAAACAAAGTTGACAGGACTGAGGTGCAAACTATTAGAGAGGAAAAAAAAGAAAAAACCAAAACAACCAAGCGACAGTGGACAGCGGAGGGAAATATTTACCTTCATTTCCAAGAAGCAGAATTGCATTCTGGTAGGATTCTCATCAAGGTTCTTGTGCTCTCCAGCATGGGACAGGCAGGACTCCAAGTTCTAAAGGTTTTTTGTCCCTAAGAGCAGTGGTAGTGACTTAAAGCACGACCCAAACTCCTCACCCAGGGCTCTAGATTGCTGACTTTGGAACATTCTAGCCAGTTACAAACTGAGCAGGAAACAAAATATTCTCCTAAGAGAAACTGTCAAATACAAAACCAAATAATTGAAAAAAATTAGTGCCTCAAAAAGGTAGAGCAACTGAAGAGCAATGTCACTGCCGTTAAATCAAGGCCCTCTCCATGGTATGCTAGGAGGGGTCAGGGCAAGGCACTCACAAGTTATTCCCCCACCCCCACAGGGGTAAATCACTGATGAAATACTATTTGGACAGTGTTCTCACTTACATGATTAGAAATATTGTAAGTGGAAAAAAATAAAACCGCCAATTTTCTAACATTAACTACCTCTAGAAAGGAAATGGTCAGCTACAAGTTACTTTTCTCATTTTTTATCAAGACAGTAACAGGGATTCCCTTCCCTTTCCCTTCACCCTTCTCCCACTGAGTTTGCTACTTCAACAGCTGTGCACACAACAGCTTGCATATTTCCAAAATCATACAGCTGCCTCAGTCAAACCTGCTTTGACAGCCTTGCTAATGTCAGGGTAGATGAAAATACTGATTTTTTTTCACAGCACTCTCAGCAATACTGCTCAGATAGCAGTTTCAACTACCTAGACTTCAGGTTCTGGGTGTAAAACAGCTAAAAAACTTTCCAGAAACCACCATTAAAACTGAATTACATGATAGGCATCATCTCTTGCCAAAAAAAAAAAAAAAAAAAAAAAAAGGTAATTATCTAGTTCAAGAAGCTCATGAATCCCCAAGTATGACTAACTCTTAAAATCCAACAGAGGTCAAAGGTTTTTTCACTCTCTGAAAATTCATAGCTAAAACTATCTATGAAAATAACCAAAAATCATTCATACTAAATGATCAAAAACCTTCATCAATTTTCCCTGTGCTGGGAACATTCAGTATCAAACCCAACAGAAACCCAACAACTCACATCATTAATCCCAAGCCATGATGTGACACAGGCTCACATCAACTTGTTTAGATCCAGACAAACAAAGCAGTCACAGTTTTGGTGTAAAATAGGCTAAAGATGGGAGAATCTGTACAATGAGTATTTTCCACTTGCACCACGTTATCCAGGGAGAAAGTTAAGAAGCCTGAAAGGCAATCAAGAAGCACACACCTCATGTGGAGGCTTCTCCAATCTTTGCTCTTTGACCAAATGACAACAATTCAGTCCATAAAGCCGGCAAACTAAATGTTCTATATCCTATCCCAGAGCCCTAACACCTTATATGAATGATAATTATTCTAAGAGTTCCATAGACAAGACAAAAAAAAATGTTTCCTCTTCACTTTTTATTGTGGACACGTTATCAGTCTGTGTGAAACTGCATAAGGGAAAACTTCCACAGAAACTTGGTCTCTCCTAAAAGGGCAGAAAAGCCAAAGGGAAGTGAAGGCCAGATCTATCAAATTATATAAAAAGTTCTCTCTGGTACCCTCAAGTTCATCCACCTTTTCTTCCTCCCAACCTTTTTAATCCAACTGTGATACTATATTCTGATACTAATTTCTTATAACAGATTTCTCAAGGGAGTTACCAGAAAGTCTATTAGAAGAGAGGCTTTTTTCCAGAGCTTTATGTTTTACCATAAAGGCCTGATAATCCATGACTTGAACTTAAACAGAGAAACATATTTTATGCTTCATGTAAAGCTCGGTTAAAGCTCAAGAGTCAAGTCACAACTCCGGTCATCTTTGCCTTTCCCACAGCAGTCTTATCAGAACATAAAGAAGGTACATCTGGTTTATTATTTCTTCCAACAACAAACATCAGCACCTGCACCATTAGGAGTCCAAGTGGTCTAAACAGGACAAAATGTGAAGTCAACACTGACTCTAAACAGAGCAGCACAGATATCTCTGAATCAAACTACCGTTTTCAAGTGCTTTCGGGACACTGTATCTTCCCAGCAAGTCACTCTATCACAGCATGAGAAAAACCTCCAGGTTTGCACGTAGTGTTTATAGGGCAGTTTGGCAACTGATGTTAAAGAGATGCTAGTCCAGAAATTTTGTAAATGTCTTTGGATGCTTTGTCACTCACTGTGCAAAAGTAACAGAAGTACCAAAGTCTGAGAGAATTTTTCTCTGTGCCCAAGGTTGGTCCTAGTATACAATATTCAGTGTCATTAGCTATTTCCAGTAATACAATATGGAATGTTATTTGTAATTTCCAGTTAAAGAAGAGGAAATGACATTCCTGCAACCTTGGCAAGGCTAGCTGGCTCAATTCTGAAATACACTTAAAAATCCCCTACTAGCTTCTTTGCTTCCCTATGGAACAAAAGTAAAATTTGTGAACTTATTCCACACTACCTAAATCAGTGAGCTGCTCACTCCCTCTCCAGGTGCTCCCTGGTGATAGTGACTTCAGAGGTGTTATCTCCCATAAGGAGCCATGACTCTTTTCCTACAACTTTAAGCATTGAACATAAGGCAACACTCAGGTCACAGTATACCAAAAAAATCCTATAGCCACTTCTGTGTGTGTCAATAGGGTCTGTTAAACAGACCTGCTGGGTCTACCAAAGTAAATATCCAAGGGAAAGCCTAAGACTACACTTTAAACTATTATAGGTTAAATTACAGTTTTCAAGAACTGTTCCCACTTACTGCTGCATTCCGTATCCCTATACATCATTCCCTTGGTATTTCAACCTTTGCTCTTTCTCTCATTCCTCTTTACAATAGCCCAAAGCTTCTGTATTGACGATTCCTCTCATCTCTTGTGCAATAACAGTTTCGTTAACGACGACCTTTGGATCACAGTTATAGATAACTGTATTAACTGTGAGTTAAATGACCACAAGAGCTAACTAGATATTAAAGGACATCTAAGTCCCAGATCAGATTGCATTAGAAAGGATGAAAAAGTGCATCCCGAAAACAGTATAAGGCAGAGTATTACATCAGGATATAAGCACAGAGATACAAAGTGATCTAAAACAAAAAGTGTATTTGTACAAACCCCAAAGTACAAATAATATACTTTGTATATGCATGTGTTTATCTACACTATAACATATATTTATACTAAACATGCAATTATATTATATTCATCTAAAATATAACTTGTATAAAACCTACAGTATACTTATAAAGAACATTTGGTTATGTGTCAGCTAGGGCACTAGAGGCAGAACAAAGAGCACCTTTACATGCGCTATTTTGAGGAAGCTGGCTGGAAAGTTTCAGGGACAGCACACTGCTGCCTGCTGAAGGAGCGGGACACAACTCATGTTCCAAACCACCATCACTGCTCTTAGGGATCAAAAATCTAAAGAGTTTGGGACGTGCCACCGAAAATGCCTTAGCGAGCACCACAAGCCCAGGACCTCCGCTGCAGTGAGACCCTCCCTGTGCCGACGCCTGGCGGCAGGCGGGGGTCGGGGCGGGCCCGGGTCTGTCGCGACAGCGCAGGGGGCGCGCGCCCCGCCCCTGGCGGCGCCCCGGCGGCTCCGCAGCGCCGCCTCCCGCGGCTCTGCAGCGCCCGCGGGACACGACAGCGCCCGGCACCGCCGCGGCACCAGCCGAGCCACAGCAGCGCTGCCGGAGAGCCGGAGCGGGGGGCGGGCGGGGGCGACACCGCCCCGGGGCAGCGCGGGGGAGGCGGCGGGGGGCGAGCAGGGCTGCCGGCAGGGGCCGGAGCGGCGCCGCCTCGCCTCTTTCCTTCCTTGCTTCCTTCCCCGCTCGGCCCTCCTGTCCCGCCCGCCCTGCGGCGGGGGCGCGGCGGTGGGGCCGGAGCCCGCGGGGCGGAGCAGGGCGGGCGCGGAGGGGCGGGCGGAGGCGGCGGGGGCGGGACTCACGTACTCTGCACCTGCAGGTCCATCTCGCGCATCTCGGTGAACCTGTCGCGCAGATCCATGGGAAGCTGCTCGATCACTGCGGGGACACGGGGGAGCGGGAGAGAGGGGGGGGAGCCAGTCAGTCACTCGCCGCCATGGGGGAGGGGGGGCGCCGCCTCCTCGCCGCGGCTTCCCCCGGCTCCCCCGCACCTGCCGTGCCCGGCCGCCCGGCGCCCCCGCCGCGCATACACTCACTCTCCAGATAGTCCTCCAGGTACAGCATGGCGGCGGCCGGGCCCGCGCCCAGGGGCTGATCGAGAGCGGGGGCTCGTCCCTTCCAATATGGCGCCGCCGCCAACAGCACCCGCGCCTCGACTCAGCGAAAACAACATTGGCGGCGGACGGCGCTCGCCGCGGCCGCGCCGCGATTGGCTGCCCACGGCGCTGACGCACGGCGCGGCCCGCACGCCCGCGCGCGGCCTCACGGGAAGTGTAGTCTGTTTGCGGGGAGGCGGCGCGTCCCGCCATGCCGTGTCCTCCCGGCCGGTCCGCAGCCCTCGGGGCATTCCCGCGGCTCCTGCGGGCATTCCCGCGGCTCCTGCGGGCATCTCGGCCCTGCAGGGGCCACGGGATTCTCCGGGAGCAGCTGTCGGCCCTCCGGAGCGTCCCCGGAGCGAGCGCAGCGCTGCAAGTCAGGGAGAATGGAAAGGGAAAACTTGCAGCTTCTTGACCAGAGTTGGGGCTTTTGTTTGTTTGTAAGTTGTTGTTTTAAATGTTGGCAGCCGGCAATAAAAAGCATAAGAAATGTCAAAACTAATGAAATTGCTCCAATCTGTGTTTTCTCACGAGTGGCCGTTCAGCACAGGTCACAGGTAGTGACCACCTTACGAGAGCAGAAACTTAACGTGGGCTTTAGCCCGCGTTGGTGTTCAGAGTGCAAAAAAATAATTAGCTGGTAGCATTTATTGCAATCCAGTTAAAACACTTCTTGCAGTAATTTAAGTGCTTGGAGATGAGGGTTTTTTTCATGCAGTTTCAGTCCCCCGAATAGTTTATTTCATCACTCTTTTATTGCTGATGTTTATTGCTCTAATCATGGACTGGTGTATTTATCCAGATTGGGTTTTTGACTGAGGAAAGGAAGTTTTGGAGCTTGCATGATGCCAGGTGTAGGTAAAGGAGCATAAGAACTGTTGTAGCAGATCAGATTTGTTTTCCACCACACTTTTTGTCTTCTCTTCATGTTCTCATCTGCACCATACACATCCAAGCAAGGAGAGAAAGTGGATGTTTCAGCCATGCCTGAGTAAAAAACTTTCAAGGGATGTTTTTGAGGGTCAAGACCAAGGGAAAATGACATTCTTTTCTCATGTGTTAAGTTCATACATTGTGAGTAGTTAGCTAAAGATGACTGAATTTTGGAAATTGAAGCATAAATTTTTGTGTGTGGTCTGTATGTAGACTGATGGTAAGTGTGTGTAATGGCCAGTCTTCGCGAGCGAAGATCCGGGGAAGGTCTTTACACCTTCCAGCCTGCGCATTGGATTTTTTAGGTGAGACACAGTGTGCACGGAACTGAGCCCACCCTTTAATCCTAAGGTTCATCTGCTGGGGCCAAGCGAGCTTGGACGGTGGCAGCGAGGTCCTTAGGACGTAGAACCTGGGTCTCGGCAGTGAGAGCGCCGCGCCTTTACCACTAGACCACCAGGGGCTCCAACGTAGACTGATGGTAGCAATGTGTTAAATACATAGTATATAGCTAAACATTTTTTTTTTTTTTTAATTCCTCTGTCACTAAAGATGGAGGGAAAAAAAGGTATAATAATAACTTATCAACTTTGCAAAAAGAAGTGGTCACTTTCCCTGCTCGCTCCATTATTAGCCATGTAGTCTGTACTGCCAAACCAGAAGTATCAATCAGTTCCATATATACAAATGAGCAGATTTTATATGGTCATTAAGCTCAGTTGAAATAATCTGTATATGATTGCTTATACAGATCACTTTGGTGTATGACTTCTGACACAATGGTGTGGGAATGACAGTATTTTTGAAGTTTTGTGTGAAAAATTGCTTGGTCCTGTTGCAGTATGTCGAAGACAATATTGACCGTTCCTGAGAAGATAAATGCTTGCACTTTTATCGAAGTGAAAGGGTTTGATGCAGCAAGAGAGCTTAGCCCATGCAAAAGCATAGCAAATTAGTGACATCCTATATTCATTGGGGAAAATCTAGGTGAATTTAGGGTAGATCTGAATTGATGGGGTCACTTTCTTTTATGCTAAGTTATGGCTTTAATGCTTTCTAAAGAAAAAAAATGTCATAGACATGTTTAGGAGTAGATTTCATGGAACAGAAGCTTAAGAAAACCATATTCTACACAAAGATACCACTGTTAGAACCACAACTGAAGCACAGTCTTTAGCGTTTGCTTCATGACCAAAATCCCAAGACAACACAGACATTGGGACCTTGTGACTTATACTGTGCTCTAGTTTGCAAGCCTGTGTTTGTCACATTGTCATCTTTGCAAGCTTGGGAATAGCCAGCAAAATCCTCATTGGGGGCTACTGTGCACAGGTATTTTCATCTGTTTTCTGTGGGTTGTGTCCAGACCAAGCAACCCAAGAAACACAGCTCTTGGGGCTATGTCTCAGTCATTCCCATTACCAATGGCACGTGCCCTGTCTATATTGGTGAAAAGGCAAAGTGAAACCTGGGTACGCCAACAGAATGACAAAGTACTAGTGGGGCTGACTGCTGTCTTCAATGTATGTTTTATGGTTTACTGGAATGTGAGGGGCTTTTATAAAAATAGAGGCCTGCTTCAGAAACTGTTCATTGTAGTGCTGTACAGCAGGGGATGGGAGGGGATTATGCAGTAGAATAGAAATGAAAATACAATTCAACTTTGTTCAGTATCTATTTAAAAGAAAACAGGAACTTATTTATTTACCTGTAGTCCTCTTCAGTATTTTTTTTAACAAATGGAGAAACTTACATTTTTCATTTCTGCAAATGTTAACTCATATTGTATAGTGAAATGAGTAGCCACCCCAACTTCAGTGGGATTGCTTGTGTAAATGGTGCTTATCACGACATACCAATGGCACTGAGTTTAAACTGACGTTTAAGAAGTGATAAGCCACTCAGACCATAAAAAACCTCCTGTTTTTACAATGGGAAACTTCCTGTTGTGTATAAATGCAAAGAATTAACTCCATTGATTAACTCAGCTTTTAGAACAGCTTCACTAGAACAGCTCCTGATAAAGAAACATGTATTAATGACTGTTTATTGGAATGCAAATAGAGTGAAAAGGAACTAAACGCCAACTGTGAACTCAAGGTGAAAAGAAATTCAATTTGTGAATTACAGTCAACATTGCTCAAAAAGTTCTGTGCATCAACAGAGCTGCTTAGCGCAGGAAAGAAAGGGAGACCACAGGAGCTGCTATTTTTTCCTGTTTATATAATGTTATTAATGTTGATGGCATTTCTCCAGCAAATGTTTCACATAAATCATGTTTCATCACTGTGGCAGAGTGATGGCATAAAGGAATATTACAGTTGCCCTGTGATCTACCTAAAGCTAATTGCTTGCATAGGTTTCATTAGTTTTCAGCTGACTGGAAAAAACCTGATTAAAAACATGGATTTATGTTCTGATATATACTTCTCAGATGGGGTTAAGACCTTCAGATTTTCTCCCTTGCTTCTGCTCTTACCCATTCTAGATCTCTTTAATGTCTTTTTTCATTAGTCTAATGTCTTCAATCTCTTCCCACGTGTGGGGTTGTTTGACATGTCTAACTCCATCATTTCCATCTTTGCATTTCATCTGCTATCTATCTCTTGGTTCCTCCCTTTCCTTGTTCCTTCCTAATCCATTCTGTCTTCTAAGCTGTATGATTGCTGCGGCTTTCTGTACCCATGTAGGACAGTTACATATTTACTTCAGTGCTCTGATTTTTAACTCTTGTCTAATACAGCATTACCGGACCTACAGTCCTTATGTTTTGTTTCTTTGTTTTCAAGGAGGACGTGTTTGAAATGCTTTTGTTTGAAAAAATCAGAAAAGACATACCTAGCCCATTCCTAGATTGATATTCCAGGTCTCAGCTACTGCTGTTAGGTTCCTGTGCCCTGGTTTCTCACGAGGGAACCTCACTGCCCATTGTGTGCCCATAGATTGTGGATAGATTGTCTGTTTCTGAGGGCTAAACTGCTCTCACAGAACTTCAAGACAGAGTGACAGCTAAGCAGCATCCACCAGGGGTGTAGCAGAGCCTACATACAACTGCAAGCCTGGATAGCTCCTAAACTACTTGAAACAAGCAGTTTGCTTTTCTTTGGCACCTGCTTCTGCTGCACTACAGCAGTCCTGTCTGGCAGGCCAGAATCCATTCACCACGGTGCACTGCTGCGAGCATGTGTTGTGGATCACAGCATTCCTAGCAGTTTTGTCTGCCAGTGTCAGTGTCAGGCTTGCTGGTCTCACATGCTTTAAACTATTTTATTGTAATTCCTCCTCACTTCCTGTTTATTGCCTGCTATTTTTCTGCTGTTTTGGCTGGTTTTCCATTCTTTTCAGTCCTCCCAGTTTTGCAGTCCAGCTGCCTCTCCCAGCTGTCATGGACCTCACCATCTTCCAAATTCTACCCCTTCTGCTGCTGCAGGGGCATCACCCACAGCCTCACTCTCTCTCCACAGGAAATAATAATCATTCCTGCAGTACTACACACCATGGCTGTTGGAAGACTAGTTAAATTACTGAATTGTCCTGGGACTGAGCACCATGTAAGGGTTACGGCATGATCGTATTTTTTCTGGGCAATCAACTTTATGTAATGGGAAACTCCACCCAAAGGTGGATGCTAGGAAGAAGCTGGGTCAGAGTATCAAGTACATAATGTTACCCTTGTCTAGCACAGGACTATGCAGAAACTTCACACTTCCATTATAAGATCCTCAAATGGGCAAATTTGGCCCAGAAATAGTGTGTCTGGCTGATAATCTATCTGAGAAATCACTTTCCTTTTCTGCCTATTAGAAACACTTTCAGATTCTGGGATTCACATTCCTATTTCTGGAAGCAAATCCATGAACCCAGATAATTAATTTGCTTTAACCATCAACAGGAAAATGGAACTGCCATTTATCTTTCAGCTTGACTTTGTGTACAGACTCAGGCAATAATATCTCTGTCTTTTAGTTAATTTTATCTGCTACAGAGTCAGTTATATTTGCTTGCAGATTTCAGTTATTTCCT